CCCCCTCCCCCTCCCCCATTTCTGATGAAGGGTCTAGGCCCGAAACGTCAGCTTTCCTGCTCCTCTGATGCTGCTTGGCCTGCTTTGTTCATCCAGCGCTGCACCTTGTTATCTCTAGTTTCTTTTTTAAAGCTAAGTGATGTGCAAGTACCTTTTTGCTGGGCGATTCCTCCTCCTTCGCCTCCCCTTCTTCTTGGCTCAGTTTCCTTTTGACCGAGGGTCTTCGGCGTTTGGTGGGAGATGGGGGACTCGAGCCCAGTGAGCTGGCAGGCTCTTTCTCGTGGATCTTCATGTGCCTGTAACAACAAGAAGGCAAGTTTCAACATTCTTTCCAGCTTTCACAGCCAAGGCTTCCTCCTGACAACAAGACCAGAGGCTGGGTCACCAAGAGCTCAGTAATTCATGGGGCAGAGTGGGCTGGGAGGATATAGTTTGGAGAAATGTACAGAACAATAAAACAGACAGGGATATACCGGAAATTTTAAAGATGGGTATGAATCCCTCTTTCCTTTCAGCTCATCGTATGCAGGATCAGATAGTCATCTAACACACAATACAATAGTAGTCTTTTACCCAAACACAAACTCGCATTGCTGCGGACACAGTTTTAGCAATAATACAAAAGTTTATTATGTAAATGAAATGAAGAAAGAAATAGAATAAACCAAACCATTTAATGCACTGCAACTTGAAAGATTTTGAAATTTGTGATAAAGTACAAGCCTATTAATCTGAAAAGTACTCTTTCACAATTCTCCCTCTGAAGAGAATTTCCTTCTCGATAAGAGCTGAATTCAACTGTGGCTTCAATTCATAGTCTTGACAATTTTATAGCCTCCTCCTTGAGTCTTCACATGACTGAGCTTATACTTTCTCAGCTTCATAATTTGAACACTTTTAAGATATAATGTAGCACCGAGATTTAAAGCCCAACCTGAAGCATCCAAATGGTGGGTTACCTTCCCCAAAAACTACTGCTCTATGCCTCCGTAATTTACCAGTAGACCTGATGTTAGTTTTAAATTCTTTCATGTGGTGTGGATTTACTGGCCATGCCAGCATTTATTACCTATTCCTTACTGTCCTGGAGAAGGTGGTTGCAAGTTGCCTTCTTGAACAGCTACAGTCTACATGGTATAGGTACACCTAGTGTTGTGAGGGAGGGAATTCCAGGATTTTGACCCAGTGACACTGAAGGAATGGCGATATCTTTCCAAGTCAGGATGGCGAGTGGTTTGGAGAGGAACTTTGAGAACTGGGTTGATGGTGAAGGGGATGAATACTGAAAGTGGCAAATGGGATACTCATCAAGTCCCTGCTTTGTCCTGCATTAAGTAGTTAAAAAAATATGCTTGCGATTGAGTTGTGACGGCATGGATCCAGAGGAAAGACTGACTTCGGTCCCTTCTCCATCTGCTCCCTCCTAGTGAATGGTGCTGATAAGCCAACCTCACTCTCCTTCAGGATTTTGGGAACCCCCGGTCGTGTGTAAGTCTGTGTATGTGGTTGTGTGTTGGGGTGGGGGTTTCCAGTTCCTCCTGGGTAATTGGGGTCTTCAAGACAACTACATCTATTCTTGCTGCACCAGTAATTAACGAGGGCTCACTTGAAGCTAACACAGCCTCACTGACACAGAGGTCTGTTACAAGGGTCTGTACTTCAGGCCACAGTGAGAGCCTGAATCTAGAAGGGGCAGCTAAAATTGTTCTTATCTTGTCCCATTGAAACTGCTTCAGTGCAGTGTCTGCGGGACAAGAAACTGGAATCAGAAAGTTTTCTCAACAAGGATTCACACTGAATGCAGAGCTTCTTGTCTGACAATGAAACAACTCAACAACAGAGCACACACTCAAAAACAAAGCCAAAAATGGAAACCTCTCCATAAACAAGTAAATAGGGACACTCCCAAGAAAGAGCGCTAAAGCAGCAAATGTAACAAGACAGGGATCAGGGTCAGAGCTGGCAATAGTAATTAATAGTAATTAAGGTAACTAAGTCGCACAGTGTGATTACATTCCATTCTCAGAACTATTAAAACAACAACAACGTATATTTATATAGTCTCTACTCTTGTTAAACATCCTAATACATTTACAGGAGCATGATGAAACTAAATTTGACACTAAATCAAAGACTGAGATGTTGGGTACAACCTCATTGAGGAGCTGCATGTCTCAGCAAGACAGATGGAGAGAGATCTGGCCACACTGTCTCTTTTCAGGAAGCCCTGCCATCTGTGTGTCAGTTCAGCTCTGGCAAAGCCAGAAAAGGGCCTTCACCCAGAATCAGGACCCTGGGGGTGGGCATCCAAAGACAGGTGGAGGGGCAGGTAGTGTTAAGGAAGCGGACAGCTTGTAGAAAGACTTGGGTAGGCTAGGATAGCAGGCAAAGAAGTGGCAGATGGAATATTACCTGGGAAAGTGTAAGGTTATACTTTTGGTAGGAAGAAGAGGCGTAGACTATTTTTCTAAATGGGGAAAGGCTTTAGAAGTCTAAAGCACAAAGGGACTTAGGGGTTCTAGTTTAGGATTCTCTTAAGGTTAACTTGGAGGTTCAGTTGGCACTTAGAGCCACAGAATACCCACAATGTGGAAACGGGTCATCTGGCTCAACACATCCACACCAAGTCCCTGAACAGCTTACCATCCAGACTCACCCCCCTAACTTATCCATGGCTAAACCACCTAACCGACACATCCCTGGATACGATAGGCAATTTAGCATGGCCAAAATCCACCTAACCTGCACATCTTTGGACTGTGGGAGGAAACCCACGCAGACACAGGGAGAATGTGCAAACTCCACACAGATGGTCGCCCGAGGCTGGAATTGAACCTGGGTCCCTGGTGCTGTGAGGCAGCAGTGCTAACCACTGAGCCACCATGCCACCCTGGAAGGCAAATGTAGTGTTAACATTCATTTCATGAGAACTAGAGTATAACAGCAGAGATATACTGCTTAGACTCTGGTCAGACCACATTTGTAATACAGTGAGCTGTTTTGGGCCCCTTATCTAAAAAAAGGATGTGCTGAGAGGATGTTTACAAGAATGATCCCAGGGATGAAGGGCTTGTCATATGAGGAGCAGCTGAGGACATGGATCTGTATTATATGGAGTCTAGAAAATGAGGGGGGATCTGATTGAAACTTACAAAATACTGAGAGACCTGGATAGAGTGGATGTGGAGATATTTCCACTAGTAGGAGAGATTAGGAGCTGAGGGCACAGCCTCAGAGTGAAGGGATCAACCTTTAGAGCTGAGAGGAGAAGGAATTTCTTCAGCTACAGGGTGTTGACTCTGTGGAGCTCATTGCTGAAGAAGGTGGGGGAGGCCAAGTCATTGAGTGTATTTAAGATTGAGGTTGAGAGGTTCGTGATTAGAAAGGGCATCAAGAGTTACAGGGAGAAGGCAAGAGAATGGGGTTGAGAAACCTTAGCCATGATCAAATGTGGAGCAGACTTGATGGGCTGAATGGCCTAATTCTGCTGTGTTTGGTGTTCCCACCTAGCGAGAGCTGCCCGCCAATCAGGGACTCCTATGCTCAGCAGCATCATGGAGATGGCCAAAGCTGTCGCTGGTGGTAAAGGACCCTTTGACACCCCTGTCTCCCACCCCAAATCACAAAGGGCCTCCAGAATTGGTGTGCGCACACGTGTGTACCTGTGGGTCACAGTTTAGGCCATTGACAACTGAGAGAAGAAGAAATTTGGAAAGGATGGACCAAATGGTCGCTTTCTGTGCTGTAAACATCAAAGTCTTCCTCATCCAGAGGATTCTCCACCACAGGAAGTGTCGGAGACCAAAACATCTAACATTTTCAAGAAGGAGTTAGATATAGTTCTTAGGGCTAAAGAGATCAAAGAATATGGGGGAGAAAGCGAGAACAGGGGATTGAGTTGGATGATCAGCCATGATCATATTGAATGGCGGAGCAGGCTATAAGGGCCGAATGGCCTCCTCCTGCTCTAATATTTCTATGTGCCCATATGGGAGTTGGCAGAGAGAAAGCATCAGGGAAAGGCAAGGGCCCTCCACCCTCCTACCCAAACATCAGTCCCTTGATCAGATTCCGACTGCCCTCAATAGAGAGCTCCCCCTGCTATCGCGGCCCTGAGGTGACTCCAGGCTGTGGGCAGGCTAGCAGCTAAGGTGCACCCAGCACAGTGACAGGGCTCATCTCCAACTGGCTTCTGCTCAGCCAGTGTGACCCAAGGCCCCGGAGTCACTTGGCAGCAGCTGGGGGCACTTGGGTCTTCAAAGAGGTGGAGGCTGAAGTGGTGGTGGGATTCGGGTGTGCCCCCTGTCCCACAGTTTAATTCCTTTGAGCTCAACAACCCCCAGAGGCAGAAGATCCTGCTTGTGAGGAAGGCACATCTTGGAGGAAGAGGAGTGGGAGGAGAGGTAGGCAGAGGGAATTCCTTAGCTTGGGGCTCAGTCAGCAACAAAAAGGCACAGCCACCAACAGGAGAGCGATTCTAACCAAGGCAAGCTAAAGAGGCCAGAGAGAACAGATAGAGCTGGGGTGGGGGAGAGAGAGAGCTGGAGGAGATTACAGAGATTGGACAGGACAAGGTCGTATAGGGCTTTGAAACAAAGGGTAAGATTATTAACACCAGTATGTTGCTTAATGAGCAATTAAAGCTGACCAATGAACAGAATCATGTTTCACTGCTGTTTAAAAGTCCAGGATTTCTTTTTAAATTTCCAGGCTCAAAATAATGGGATTAAGTTGAGCCCCAAAATAAATCCAAAGATAAATTTGAGGCAAATCAACAAGAATGTGTTGATATTATGAGCGTCACTTCGCCATGTTGTGATGGGTTCAACGTATGCAGTATCAATCTCCGCCTTCTTGAAACACTGTCAGGTTATGATCTTGGTGAAATACCTTTATTGTGCTTGCAAATGGCGATGGGGCGGGTTTAAACTAACACATCACCACCACCAGAGCTTTGAGAAGCACAAATATTTTTCAAAAGGGCAGACGCAAAGAAGCAGAGTGTTTCAGGGTTTGGCCTTAGCTGGAAAGTGGTGTCCAGTGGGAAGGGAGTCAAGACCCGACACAGAGAGAGAGAG